AGCCTTGCCCGAGGCCGCCCAGCCAGGCGATGGTAGAGAAAGACCTGGACTCGGGGCTCCTGATTCCCCAGCCCTGTGCCCGCCAGGCCCCCCATCTTGGTTCCAGTGGCCGGTGTGTGGCGCATGAGTGTGTGACGGCAGTGTACCAGCTACGAGCACAGACTCTGGGGCCCGCCTTCTGGGGCCTCTATCCGGCTCAGTGTCTTACGAATTGTATGCATTCGAGTACCTTCTTGGACCCCTCCGAGCTCTAAGATGGGCACAATGATCTTGTCTCTTGTACAGGGCCATCAGGAGGCTTCAATAAGGCTCGTAACCGTGCCAGGCACACAGTGAGGGCTTGATAAAGGCTAACTGTTTTCTTTCTCTTTTAAAATTTGTTTAAGACCTTATGACGAGTCGCCTGCTCCACCAACTGAGCCACCCAGGCGCCCCGAGAGCTATCTTAAGGAAGGAATTAATGACAGGAAGCTGTCAGGGCTGAGATAGACCTCGGGGCCTTCATAGGTCTGCCGGAGACAGCACAGATCTCCTTCTTGGTGGCTTGTGATGTACTGAAAAGCCAAGGAAAATGTGGGTCCGTTCTAGCCAGGGCCGTGCAGCCCGCAGCGTGGGGGGAGTCTCCGCTCCTCTGAGCTGCTCTACATGGTAGCCATGAGCTGCCTGAGGCGACTGAGCACTTGGACTGTGGCTAGTGGGCTGGGAGGGGCTGTCAGTGTCCACGACACATTGAATTTCGAATTTTGAAGACTTGGTCTGTGCAAAGGTCCTGAGGTGGGAGGGTCCCTGGTGTGTCTGAGGCATCACAGGGAGGCAAGTGGGGTTGCAATGGAGCAAGTGAGGGGAGAGGGTAGGAGATGAAGGCAGAGAGGTGATTTAGTGGTGTCTCTTTCTACGTCTGCCCTCCGAGCGATGTCGCTCCTTTTGGGCAGGGGTTAGGTCTTCCTTGTAAGTCTCTACAGCCCCTGGGTCAGCACAGAGCCTGCCATGCTTGTTGAATGGATACCTGCCTGTTGATGGGAACTGAAGGCAGCTGAGCCGGACTGGGCAGGCGGGGCCCTCAGGTTACACCCCCACCTCGGTGACCAGTCAGTATGGAGGACAATGGCCCAGCCCCCAACTCCCTCCACCCCCTCTGGCACCACACTTCTGCAGAGCTGGTCCAGTGCCAGAACTTCTGGAGTTTACTTCTCCTTACTGCACCTCTGTCCACCTGTCCTCCCCTCTGCCTGCCCACCAAACCACGTAACTCGTTACATTTCACAGCAAGCCGGAAACATCTAGACTCTGCCCCCTCAACCCGTATCCTTTGGCATGCATCTCACCAACTAAAATACAAGATCTGGTTTCTTGGGATTATTTTTTATTTTTTAATGTTTTTATTTATTTTTGAGAGACAGAGTGCGAGCAGGGGAGGGTCAGAGAGAGAGAGGGAGACACAGAATCCGAAGCAGGCTCCTGCAGGCTCTGAGCTGTCAGCACAGAGCCCAGCACAGGGCTCCAACTCACGAACTGTGAGATCATGACCTAAGCTGAAGTTGCACGCTTAACCGGTTGAGCCACCCAGGCACCCCCAAGATTTGTTTGATAGAACTGTTTTTTGTTTGTTTTAAATCCTCCAGGGAATTCCTCCCTGGGTGACCCAGGATAGTGGGTACAGTCTCCTTCATCTGCAGGCCTGATTATTAAGGTACCTGAGAGGGACCCTTTGTTCCACGTGAAGATCAGAGTCCCTGGCTCCACCTCTGACTAGCTGTGTGGCCTTGGGGGTTGGGGCGGGGGGGGGGGTAGTCACAGCAACTCTCCAAACCTCAGTTTCTTCATCTGTAAAATGGACCTAAGGAACGCAGTACCTCTTAGTGCTGTCATGAGAAGTAACTGAGACTCTGCCCACGAAGTACCCGGCAGGGTGCTTAGCACGTAGGACATGCACAGCTAATGACAACCATGGCTGGTTTTTTTTTTTTAATGTTTTTTTTATTTATTTCTAGGAGAGAGAGAGAGAGAGAGAGAGAGACAGCGTGAGCAGGGGAGGGTCAGAGAGAGAGGGAGTTACAGACTCTGAAACAGGCTCCAGGCTCTGAGCTGGCAGTCAGCACAGAGCCCGACGCGGGGCTGGAACCCACGAACCGCGAGATCATGACCTGAGCTAAAGTCGGACGCTTAACCGACTAAGCCACCCAGGCGCCCCGAACCATGGCTGTTTTGAAGATGTCACTGCACGGACATCCTTCCAGAATAAACTTCTCTTCTTGGGGCGGGAGGGTTCGGTCTTTGTTCCTGGCAACCGGAAGCGTTTTAGCCAGATCTGCATGAGAACGGGTCAATGGGTAGGTTGAGTGTGAGTGAGGTCAAGGCCTGGAATTCCCCGTGTCTTGTGTCTTACCTTTGTCCTCAGGGGGCAGGAAATTCCCTTTCAAGGGTCTTTGATCTTGCTAGGAAGCTGAAGGCATGGGGGGGGGGGGGGGGCAGGAGGGAAGGTGCTCCAGGCCCAGGGTGAGGGTGGCGGGCAGAGAGGGAGACAATCTTCCACGGAAGGGGGCTCACTCCGCATGCATTTACAGACCAGAGTCTCCTTGCTCACGACGGTAATTTAAAACACGGCTTTTGCAACCCCGGAAGCTGGCGAAACACCGCAGCCCCTTAGGTAGTTTTCCAGAGGTGCCAAGGAGCTGCCTGTTCATTACCTCGCCAGCCACCCAGGTACCAGGGGAAGCGCTTGCACTGTAGAGCCCAAGACTGCAGACTGGTTGCCCACAGGCCAGAGCCCCCCCACAGACAGCTTTATTTGTCTGTTCGTTTAGCATCGAATACGTTGCCAATGTGTTTTTTTTTAATGTGGCGATTCCACATCGCAATGTCATGGGAAATCAGATCTGGCAACAGCGGGCCCACGATGCCTGCGTGGCAGCCACGGGCTGAGTATGACATATGGAGGCCAGCTTTTCACTGCTCTACCAGGTCCCTTGCCTGGCATCTGAGCTTGCATCCCCGGCGTGGCTGCTGCAATGGGCCCAGATTCAAGTGCTTATGAGTCAAGACAGACTGCAGTGAGTACTGTAGATGTGTGAGAGTCACTCTTCGGGGGTGTGGGGCGGGGGTGACATCGGCCATGTATGAACCATTTCCAGCTGCCACAATACAGGAGAGCGCTGCGGGCATCTAGTGGGTGGAGGCCAGGGGTGCTGCCCCATGTCCGACAGCACACCTGGGACAGCCTTCACTATATACACCCACCCAGACCCAAATGTCAAAAGACACCTCCGATTAGGGGTGTCAGCAAACCGATCGCGAGGGGAGAAACTGACTTGAAAAATTAGCTCAACCATGTCTCCCTGAATAAAAGCGGTTTGCTGGTGGCGGGCACTTGGTGACGGAGCCAGGTTTCACCTGGGAGAGTTCGGGAGAAGGCGTGTCGGGCCCGGGACAGCACAGGTAAAGGTGGGGAGGCATCTTGGATGGGGGAGGACAACGGGAAGGCTGGTGAGATGACGCGAGTGGTCCCAGAGCATGAAGTTCGGGACGGGATGGACTTGGATTTGAATCCTGGCTCTACCCCTCACAGGCCTGTCAATGGCCTGAACCTCCGTTTTGTCTCCTGAAAAGTGAGGGTAAGAAATGAGGTTATGTGGGTACAGCCTCGTCTACGCCCACTTCTGCCTTTGCATTCCGCATCCCAGCCATTCTGAAACGTTGGCAGTTTGCTCAATGCTTAGCTCTCTGTCTCTTCTCTGGGCGCTGAAGGTGTAGTGCCTGCTGCCTGGGGTCTCTCCCTTTACCCCGGCTCTCTTCCCCATCACTTCTCTGGCCTTCGGGTGGCCAGGAGAAGAGTTGGAGTCTCTATTGGTTAATGTGCCTGCTCCCCTCCTAACCCAGTAGGCTGGTTCTACGAAAGCTCAGAGTTGAGGTGTGTAGAGGCCAGGATCCCATAGAGGCTAGAGCCAGAGAGGCCAGGGGCAGGCCACACAGCTTTCATGAGCCTGTTTGCTTATCTGCATAGAACACAGTCTTCACAGGGTGTGGGAGTCCACGGGATCCTCCCTGCAAGCTCTTAGGGCAGGGCCTGGCTCAGTACATCTTAACTGCTTTTAGGAAGATCAAGCTCTCGCTGAATACCCTCTGTGCTTCAGGAGGCCCTGGGTGTACAAAATCTCCTAAGGACAGGTCTTGACTTTAAGGATTTGCCTGGTTAAGGATTTGTGGATTTTGCTGACTGTGGATTTTGCTGACATACACTTTTGAGGGAGGATTTCCACTTCTAAGAATTTATCTGGAACATGTACAAACATTAGCTCCACATAGGTTCACAGTGTGAGTTTACCAAATGAAAAATTGGAAATGGTCTTCATGCCCAGCTCTAGGATAGTGGTTAAACAGGTCATCTGACAGATGAAACCTTATGAAGTCATTCGAGAGGAAGCAGAGAGATATTTGTTGCTACGGGGAAATGTTATTATTAAGGGGAAAATACATGAAACATTTGTATATCAAACATATGGACACTAATACACCCACAAGTTTTTTTTAACTTAAAAAAAGTGATTTTTACCATTTTTTTTGTTATTCCAGATTTCCTTCTCTAAATTTTCTACAATGAATGTTCATTTATTTTGTGAAAAAAATAGTTTAAGTTTTAAATTATTCGTTTATTAAAATATAATAAAAATAGTAATAAGTGTCTGTCTTACCAGCTGTCCCCGTCTCTCTTCCCAGCCTTCTGTCGTGACTCGATTCTTTATCACCCACAATGAACGTGGGCTCATCATGCTACTATGCCTGCCAGTATTTACGAGTATTGAGTAACCTCCGAGCCATCCTACCATGCAAGGCGATGTAAACTGAATACTCACATTCTCAGGTGACTTGCATGGACACCAAGTTTTGAGATGGGTTGAAACAAGGTGTCTGCCTCCCTCTATGTATGTATTCTCTTGTGATTCGCTTCAGCCATCCACCCACCCACCCGCTTGGGAACTTTTATTTACTTGACGTACGCATGCGCACTCTTGGACGCCGGCGGCCGCCGCTGGTCCGGGAAGCCCCGCCTCCCGGCGCTTAGGATTGCTCCGTTCCGCCAGAACGCCCCTGATTGGTGGTCCCGGCCCCGGCCCCGCTGCCTATCAAAGTTGGCGGGAAGGCGGAGGTGGGGCAGCATGGCGGCGGCGGCGGCGGCGGCGCCTTCAGGGGCGGCGGACTCCTTCGCCGGCGGCGGCCCAGCGGCCGTGCGGCTGCCGCGGTCGCCGCCGCTCAAGGTGCTGGCCGAGCAGCTGCGGCGCGACGCGGAAGGCGGCCCGGGCGCGTGGCGGCTGTCGCGGGCGGCGGCGGGCCGCGGGCCGCTGGAGCTGGTGACCGTGTGGATGCAGGGCACGGTGGTGGCGGCGGGCGGCGGCGAGGCGCGGCTGCGGGACCCCAGCGGGGCCTTCACGGTGCGCGGCCTGGAGCGGGTGCCGCGCGGGCGGCCCTGCCTGGTCCCAGGTAACGGCCGGACTCGAACGCGGGGCGGGCCCTGGTGGTGGGCCGCTGGGGGGCGGGGCTTGGCCGGTGCCCCGCCCCGGTCGCCTTCCTTCCAGTCTCCCCTCCCCCTCCGGCCGCAGGTTAGATGACCTGCCGGCAAGCCTCGCCTGCAGCCCGCTTAGGCGCTTCGGATCCAGGGGCTGCCGTGGTCGGAATCCGCGGTGGAGGGACCCCCAGCATCAGTGTTTGTAACACGGCCCTTGCCCACAGGTGCTTTTCCTCCCCCGTCGGGTTTTGGCAAACACTGTGCATCCCTGAGGCCTAGACTCTGGAAGACTCTCCGGCACCGCTCCTTCGCGGAATGCCTTAGGCTGTAGTTCTCTAACGTTTGCCTCCGAAGTCAGCTCAGACGCACCCCGAGGGCTTGTTAGGGCTCGGCTATCTGACCTCCGCCCTTAGAACTTTTACAGGTCTGGGTGAGGCTGAAAATTTTCATTTCTGTTATTATTTTTTTTTAATTTTTTTTTAATTTATTTCTAGGAGAGAGAGAGAGACAGCGTGAGCAGGGGAGGGTCAGAGAGAGAGGGAGTCACAGACTGAAACAGGCTCCAGGCTCTGAGCTGGCAGTCAGCACAGAGCCCGACGCGGGGCTCGAACCCACGAACCGCGAGATCATGACCTAAGCGAAGGTCGGACGCTGAACCGACTAAGCCACCCAGGCGCCCCAAAGTTTTTTTTTTTTTTTTTTAAAGATTTCATTATTTCTTTTTACCTTTTTAAATGTTTATTTGTTTTTGAGAGAGAGAGAGAGAGAGTGAGCGAGCAGGGGAGGGGCAGAGAGAGAGGGAGACACAGAATCTGAAGAAACAGACTCCAGGCTCTGAGCTGTGAGCACAGAGCCCAAGGTGGGGCCCGAACTCACCACCGGGAGATCGTGACCTGAGCTGAAGTCAGACGGTCAACCGACTGAGCCACCCAGGGGGCTCTCAAGTTAATTTTTAAGAGACAGAATGCGATCAGGGGAGGGGCAGAGAGACAGGGAGACAGAATCAGAAGCAGGCTCCAGGCTCTGAGCTGTCAGCACAGACCCCGAGGCAGAGCTTGAACTCTTGAACAGGTCAGGACCTGAGCCGAAGTCGGATAGTCGGATGCTTAACCTTAACTGACGAGCTACCCACGCCTCTCAAGAATGCATTTCTAACCAGCTGCCAGGTGTTGCCTAAATGGGTGGCCTTGGGTCCACACTGGCGGGCTGGATGGATCTTCCGGAAACCGGTATCTTCATCCTTAGGTTGCATTCCTGCCTCAGCCCTTTTCCAAGTGAGCTGCCTAGAGCACTTTACCTTTCTGGATCTGTCTTGCCTTTGTCAAAAAGGGGCCTGTTTGTGGATTCAGTAAAAAAAAAAAAAAAAAGCATTACCGCAGTGCCTGGCTCACAGTGAGGTTCTGAAAAACTGTGATTATTATTACTGTGAAGTGCTCATGCTCCCTTCTCCCCTCACCCCTTTGCCCCCTCCTTCAGCCTCATCTCTCTGCCCTCACCCCTGTAGCATCACGGGGTCAGCAGCCTCTTCAGATGGCCAGGAGCTGAAAATGTTTTTGGTTTTTGTTTTTTTACATTTTCAAATGGGGAAAAAAATCAGAAGATTTCACAACATGTGAAAAGGATAAGAAATTGAAATGCATGGAGGCGGGAGTTAAGTTCGAGGAAAAAAAAATCATGGCACCAGCAGAGTGGGGGTGGCTGTGAAGAAGCAACAGCTAGAGAGAGAGCCGACTAGAAGCCATTGAGGAGGTCCGGGGCAGAGGATGCAGGCCTCTGGATGGAAAGGAGGGGGCGGGCCGGGGGGCACAGGAGCAGAGAGACGGGGAGAGACGCTGCTAGACGCGAGAGGAGAGGGTGTGGGTAGAATGAACACCGCTCAGGTTGTCTCATCTCGGGAAGGGAGGGCTCGCGCCAGTGAGGTCACCCACTCAGTTGTGGGTTCCTTCATGTAGATTTCCTGTCATCCTCCCCTGGTCGGGATCTCCATGGGCGTGTTCTTTCCTCGGGTCATCAGTGATTCTCCTTCTGAGGGTTCTGCGTCTCCCAGCGCGTTAGAATTATTCAGACGGTATCGGCAGAGCATGATTTTAGCGTCGGCCCCTGTCACCAAGAAGCCCCATGCTGCTCGCTCCCCTAGAATCTGGAGGTGGGTTCAGAGAAACCTAAACCCCTCGGGCAAGGGGCAGAGATCGAGAGGGACAGCATCAGCTTGCCAGGCTTCCTGCCGCCAGAGCCCTGGGGCCCGCCTGCAGACTCAGAAGCCCTGGTGACCCACGCGGCCTCGCGGGGGCATGCAGTGGGGGCCGCTGAGAGCTCGCCCTCCCCGCTGTGTTTGGGGTTTTTTCCACAATTGAGTTTTGTGTGGTTAAGACTGGCCAAGTTTTGCTTTCAAGGAGAGCCACTTCCCCAAGGGAATGGGAAGAGCGTCGTGGTTAGTATGTCATTAGACTGTCCAGACGGCAGCCCGCTCTCTCGTCGACTGGGTAGGACGTGCCTGGCTGGTGGCGGGCAGTGGCCCGGGCAGCTGGGATGCCAGGGTGGGGTGGCAGGGTGCCACAGCCAGCCGAGCTCTTCTGGCATCAAGGGACAGTTGGGTTTCCTTTGCGGCTGTCAGGGGGGTGTCTTTGCAGAAACAGGACTGGTCCTGGGCACGGACACTGGCCACACACCCTGTAACATTTGGGCAGGGAACGGATCAAGGAGAAAACCTGGCACGGGGTGGGGGTGGGGTGCCCCTGCTTCAGAACCTACTCTGATGTGAGTCTCTTCCATTCCATGGGCTTCATAGTTCTTGCACGATGAGAGCTTGCTGCGATTTTGTTACAACGTTTTTAACCCAGGAGCCAAAGGTAACCCGATGTCCCCCTCCAGGTTAAATGTTGAACTCCCTGTCTATGTATATATGTATAAATAGATATTATGTATCGTCTGTGTGTATAGCAGATCCGGTCACGGACGGCCTTGGCATTTTGGTATCTACTCCCTCCCCCGCTCCTTTTTATGTCTCTAATTCGCCTCTCGGACAAAGTGAAGCTCTCTGAAGGACAGGGTCTCTGTGTTGTGTCTGTTTTCTGCATCAATGTGAACATCACCATGGGCTCTTCTTCTTCTAGGAAAGTATGTGATGGTCATGGGAGTGGTCCAGGCGTGCGGCCCTGACCCCTGCCTTCAGGCTGTGAAGATGACAGATCTTTCCGACAACCCCGTCCACGAACGCATGTGGGAACTAGAGGTGGAAGATTTACACAGGACTATTCCTTAGACGGCATTGGAACCGTTGCTAAAAACAACAGAAATCCTGAAACAGTTTAGGTTCCGGTCCATGTGGATTTCACAGGTACTATTCCGTGTATGTTCCTCAGAAACTTCTCGAAGAGCCTCGCTCTGGCTGCCCGAGGACCCCAGAGGTTGGATTTGCAAACGCTGGGACACTCCCTTTAACTCAGCCCCCACACCCCTTGCTCTGACAACTGTTTGCTGATGAAAAGCAGATGTGAGCTCTGTTTTTGGTTTCCTTGGGCTTTTTTCCCCTTTGGTTGATGTGTGTTCATTCCCTGTAAAGCACGCAGAAATCCCGTGTTGCATCTTCCCAGTTTTATGAGTGCCGAGAACTTTGTCTGTGGCTGCCGTGAACCTGTTTTTACCAGGCAGAATCTGAACGTCACTCCTTGCTGGCGGTGATTGAATCGTGGTTGTGGGCAGGGCAGCCGACGTCCGGAAATGGGAATGACCTTGTGGCCCGCCTCTTCTCCCGTGCACAGCTTCCATATCCAGGCTGCACGCCAGCCAGTGTTTTTCTGCTGTGGACACCAGCAGCCTCTTGGAGAAGGTTCTCGCCTCTGAACCATTTAAGGTACATTTGCTGGAGACACGGATGATACCACCTGCCATTCTTCCTCACCTGGAGATGTGGAAATGGTTTGAAAGTTTCTCATTGAAACGAACGTCAGGATTGAGAATGACTTGTAAACATTAATAAACTTCTGTGTCATAACTTTTGGTGAGACCCTGTAAGGGAGCAACCTTCCAGTGTAGAGGCTTTTTCTTTTGTTTCCCATTCTCAGTTTTATGGAGATAGAATCAGCACAGGGCACTATAGACATGTAAGTTGTGTGGCGTAATGATGTTAGAGTTATTACGTTTTCTGGAAGGAATGACTTTCGTGATCATAATCAATGTGGGTTTCTGCTCTCTGCGACTTACTCCTGCCTTCGTTTTCCTGGGATTGTAAATATCAAGGGAGTCCAATTACATTCCTGCATTGCTGTAGAGTTTTGTTGGGTTACAGATCTTCTGCCACTAATAAATTATATGTTGTATCTTTTTAAAAATGGATGATTTTGGCAGCTCCTGGCTGGATCAGTTAGTAGAGCATGCGACTCTTGATCTGGGGGGTTATTGATTTCGAGCCCCATGGTGGGCGTGGAGCCTACTTTAAAAAAAAAAAAAAAAAAAGACTGTTTCTTGGAGTAGCTTTAGATTTATAGAAAAAAAGCAGGAAGTACAGACTTCCCATAGACCCCACCCCTGAGGTTCTATTATTAATGTCTTGCATCAGTGTGGCGCATTTGTTAGAATTAATGACCCACATTGATATTACTAACTAATGTCCATAGTTGAATTAGGGGGTCTCTCTTTGTTTTTTTAGTTTTTAAAAAATTTTTAAATGTTTTTTATTTATTTCTGAGAGAGAGACACACACACAGCGTGAGCAGGGGAGGGTTAGAGAGAGAGGGAGACACAGAATCCGAAGCAGGTTCCAGGCTCTGAGCTCACAGTCGGCACAGAGCCTGATGCGGGGCTCGAACCCACAAACCGTGAGATCATGACCTGAGCCGAAGTCGGACACTTAATTGACTGAGCCGCCCAGGCACCCCTGGGGGTCTCTCTTTGTGACACGCAGCTCTGCAGATGTTACAAAGGCATAATGTCATTTGTCTACCATGATAGTACCTCACAGAATAGTTTCAGCACCCTGAAACCCTCTGCGCCACCTTGACCCTTCCCTTTCCCTCAACACCTGCCAACCTCATCTTTCTCCTATGTCCATGGTTTGCCTTCTCCAGGAAGTCCCAGTCAGTTGGAATCATACAGTATGTAGTATTTTCAGACTGGCTTCTTCCCCTTAGCAAAGATATCTGAGGTTCCTCCATGTGTTTTTATAACTTGCTTGCTCATTGCTTTTTATCGTCGAGTAATGCTCCCTTGTATAGATGTAGCCTGGTTTGTGTGTCTGTCTCTTGAAAGACGTTTGTGTGGTTCCATTTTTTGCTGGTTATGAATGGAGCCGCTATAAACATTCATGTGCAGTTATTGTGTGGACACAAGTTTTCAGTTCTACAGGGTGAATGCCCGGGATCCTATGTAAGCCCGTGTTAGCCTTGTGAGAACCACCAGACTGTCTCAGTCCTATCTGGCTGCTATAACAAATGTCATCGACTGGGGGGACAGGGGCTTAAAAACAACGGAAATGTATTGTGCACAATTCTGGAAGCTGGGAAGTCCAAGATCAAGGTGCCAGCAGATTCAGGGTCCTGCTTCCCGTGCCTAGATGGCTGTCCTCACGCGGTGGAAGGGGTGAGGGAGCTGTCCTGGGCCTCTTTTATCAAGGCATAATACCTTCATGAGGGCTCCGCTTTTGTGCCTGGTCACCTCCCCAAGACCCCACCTGCACATACCTTCACACTGGGGGTTAGGTTTTAACACACAAATTTGGTAGAAGGGACACATATTCAGTCTATCGCACTGTCTTCGGAAGCCACGGTGCCACGTTGCCTTTCCGTCTGCCGCGTCGGAGAGAGCTCCTTATCCTCCATCCACACCGGCGTTCAGGCGTGTCCGTGATTTGGATTTCCTATGTGTTTGAACTTTGGGTTTTTTCCTGATATTTTATGTTTTGTTGTTTTTTTAAACTTCTAAAGGTAGAGCAGATTGGAAAGTGCACGTTGTTTTCCTCACTGATCAGTGACGGACTGCTTGAAGCTTGTTTCAAGCCAGCTTCTGTTCAGAGTTTGGGGATTTGAGCTCTGTCCGGAACTTTGCAGCAGATAGACCCGAATGTGAGCCGTTCGTATGTCATTACACTTGCTGTGTGACTGTGAGCAAGTTATCTGACGTCTCTGTGCTTTAGTTTCCTCATCTATAAGATGCAGATTTTACCCAGCCCCTGGCACCGCTAAGAGGAATGAATGAAGAAACACATAAATAAATCAGTTGTACGTGCGCCTGGCACACGGCAGGCACCCAATGGTCGTTTCTGGGAGGAACGTGTGAGTTCTTAACTTACACCCACCAACTGCCTTTAAAAAACTATTAAAAAATTTTTTTTTGATGTTTATTTATTTGAGAGAGACAGAGTACAAGCAGGAGAGGGGCAGAGAGAGAGGGAGACACAGAATCTGAAGCAGGCTTCAGGCTCTTAGCTGTCAGTACGGGGCCCGATGCGGGTCTCGAACTCACGAACCATGAGATCATGACCTGAACCGAAGTCGGACACTCAACCGCCTGAGCCACCCGGGTACGCCGAGATGCTATTATTAACTAAAGTCTGTACTTTATTCAGCATTCCTTTGTTTTTTCCCCCCTAACGGCCTTTTTCTGTCCCGGATCCCACCTGGGACACCTCATTCTCTTGAGCTGTCCTGTGTCCTTAGGGCCCCTCTTGGCCGGCACGGTTGACCAGCTCTGACGCAATGGACGTTCACTCCTGACATTGGCCATGGGATCCCTGTTGTAGGATGCCCAGCCTAAAGCATTAGTTCACAGTTGTCACGGGGTTCCCAGCAGCAGCCCTCGAGCTAGGCCACACTACATAGGCGTCCGCACACCACGCTTGCCCCTTCCCCGAAGTCTGCTTTGCTGCTAGAGAACTGACCCCGCCTGCCGAGAACCGTGTCCCCCATATCCGGCCCTGCTTGCCCTCCCCTGACTTTTTGGTAAATAATGCCCTATTGACAAACGCCAATCGGCCTGATAGTGTCGCCTGGGCGATGACCTATGTCAGGAGTGTGGGAGGTGGCACCAGGAGGCACCTGGTGTTTTCTGACGGTCCCCGCACACCGCCGGAGGCTTCCAGAGGCTCGCGGTGCTGGGAGTGTGCCGCCCCGGCGGGGTAGCCGGGCTCTTGTGGTCGCCCTGCATATTAATAGCTCTCACTGTTTCGGTGAGTGTTTCCGCCTTGACATCACTAAATTAGAACGCATCTCAGTTGGGGGTTTTAGTTTTCTGGTGCGAAATCACAGTTGGTTTAACAGCAAGCACCCCGCCCCCCCCACTTCCCCGCCAGACAAGGGCAGGCTGTGTGCTCCGGGCCGCCCAGCTTCCCTTTTGAAATTGGCTCTTTTCTAAGAACTGAAAATAAGCACCCTAGGCCGTGACTTCACTTTTCTTGGAACTGCTTTACATTAGAAGAAGAAAAAAAAACAAAAAACAAAACAAAACAAAACAAAAAGAAACACCAACCCTCATCTGGCTAGTTTTGCATCTCCGAGTTCCCTAGTCATTTCTGCTGTGTATTCTTGTAAAGTGAAGTCTTACCACAAAATTCTGCATCAGATGAAGCAGGAAAGGAAAGCAGTGACCCCCATGGAGTGGTCAGGTGTTCCGTGTCCTGGCCCGCTCGCGTGTGGTTCAGCGCTGGCGGAGAGGAAGAGCTGGGAAGACACGCCGACGGGTCACATTCAGATCCCAAGGCTCCCAGGCATGACTGCGTGGCCGTGTCCGGCCACCTCCCGGGCTAGGGCTCGAGCTGCTAAGCCTCACGCCACAGTCCAGGCTCACCCTGCAGCTGCCCGTTTGTGAGGATAAGGAGAAAAATATGCACTTTCAAGCACAATGACCTACATTTAGCCGGCGTTTTGGAGCCCGTTCAAGAAGTTGTCTTCCAGGAGTCTCTGCCCACTTAGGGAGAGAGTGGCGTAGCTACACTCGGGTACCCGCCCCAGTTCTGCCCTTTCCTGTCTGCCCTTGGGCTTGGAGGTCAGTCTCCCAAGTGCGGATAGGATAGGTCTGCCCTCCCAGGATGCTACCCTGGATGTACGTTCGTGGGAACCGGGCTCAATGCCCCTTCTCAGTGGGGACCTCAGGCACAGTGTTCTGAAATCATCTGTCAGTATCTCTGTTCCCGTCTAAGGAGCCTCCAGCGATGCGATCGCGGCTTAGTTATCTGCACCCCGTGCAGGGCCTCGCACAACCCACACGGGCTGTCAGTAAATGTTGGGGAAGTGGCTGGTTTTCTCGTGGGAAGACCGAGGCGATCCACAGGGAGCGGCGCTCTGGCGTCTCCACTCGGCGCACAACCCTTTTCAAATGAAAGGCGCCCCCACGGCTGTGCCTAACCCAAAGCAGCCTTTGAATCAAGCACCCTCGATAATGTGTAACCAGCCTGAGGGTGCTTGCTGGAATGTTTGAGAGCGTTCTAAGTGCAAACAGGGGCAAGCTGATAAAGAAAAGGCTGGAGGAAAAGACAAGACGGCAGAGCCCCCTACCCCACCCGCACCGCCTGTCCCACCGAAATGTATGCAGTTTGGGCTGAGTCTGAAATGATAGTCCTAGGAGAATCAGTAAGCATCTCTTGATAAAAAATGCAAATTCAACCAAGAGTTACATGCCAGGGACTGTGCGAGAACATTTCCCGTTACTTCATTTTATCGTGTCAATGCCTCTGGGACGTCCATCTCCCTCCACTCCTCCCCACCCCCCCCACCTCCCCACGCAAAGGGATTCAGTCCTTGGCCCAAGGGCATCTGGCCAGCAGGCTGTGGCAGAGACAGGTATTAGGCCAGCTGATGTCCCACGCTGTAGGGGAGGTGGCTGATGTCCCACGCTGTAGGGGAGGTGGCTGATGTCCCACGCTGTAGGGGAGGTGGCTGATGTCCCACGCTGTAGGGGAGGTGGCTGATGTCCCACGCTGTAGGGGAGGTGGCTGATGTCCCACGCTGTAGGGGAGGTGGCTGATGTCCCACGCTGTAGGGGAGGTGGCCTGGGCCTTCACTGAGAGACCACTCTTTCCCGAGAGTGGGAGCTTCTGCTGTTTCCACTTAGGTGCTAGCTCCCCCTGCTGGCCGGCCACAGACACTGCTGCCCTGTGCCCCCAGAAATGGGATGACCGCCAGACACCGGATTGTAAAGCCACAGAAGGAAGCAAAGGAACAGACCAGGGCCATGAGACGCTCCACAGCTGTCCCGCCCTGGGAGTTTCACCCATTACGGCCAAGCCATCTTGGGGCTGGGAGATGGGGTACGGTGTTGGATGGGCTCCGATGGTCCTGCTTTTGAAGGCCTATCCTACTTCCCATTAACTGGGTGACCTTGGGCAAGTGGCTGCACTTCTCTGA